TGATTTTGTTGTTGCCTTTTGAGTTTGCTGAAGTTATTAATGTTTGAGGTATCACTACTTCTTTATTAGTTTATCAGTTTTATTTGGGAAGAAATAATCCACAATTTCAAATACAGTGAGAAAACTAAATTTCTTAAGGGCACATGGTAATTTCTATGGACTCGGATAATTTATTTCTTTTCAATTTTATTGCCTTTTGTTTACTATTCTAACTAACAGGAGTTAACATCTTCTTAGGTTCAAAATACTTCTGAGTATAGAAAGTTCTTACTACGTTCCAACAACTCGGTGCGTCTTGGCTTTAATATCATCCTCTTCACATATTTTTTCCAAACTGAAATCTGATCATTGGAATCATGTCCTTGTCTAGCATAATGATGTTAAATTTCAGGTAGGGATGACAGTGAGGTGTGTCGGAGCGATTGCGGGGGCGGGTTGAGCTTCAACCTATAAAAATTCAACCCCCCCCACCAGGGGCGAATCTACGTAATTAATTTTCGGTGCTAGAGCACTCATACTAGTTTATGCCTTGAAATATATGGTGTGTGTAGAACATTGGTGGATGTTCGAATCCCATTAGTCCCATTAGTCCCATTTTTTTAATTTTTATTTTTTACTTTTTCCAGCTAATTTTGCACCCTTTTTTAATTTTTTTTTCTAGAGGTTGTTTTTTATGATGATAATATTAATCGTTGTTTTATTTTTTTTTACATTTTTTATTAAAGAGTTTGAGTTAATATACGTTTATTTTTTTAAATGAAAGAGTTTGAGTTAGTTATACGTTTTACATTATGTGATTTCTAATAGGTTTATGCTAAAGAAAGTGAGCACCCACAACCTTGAAATCTTGGATCCGCCACTTCCCACCACCCCGCACCGCATAATAAAAAAATTTAGTTTCTACCCTTTCGGCACCAACCCACGTAAACCCGTCCCACGTAAAAGAAAATTATTTTTTTCACCATATTTGTTCATTTTAATTAGTATACTACTTATCGGCTATTACAAAATTAAAATTTGATTAAACAAAAAATCAGTACATCAAAAGTTGTAAACTTTTTAACAACATTTCAAACATATCCGAAAGAAATTAACAATATTATATTATTATAGTTAGAAATTAGGATGAAATCATGCATTAAATAATATTCTACAAAGACTAAAGCTTTTATAATAAACTTGACGAATAAATCTCTAAACCCGCACCATTTATTATTTAGTTAAGTCACACCAAATTGTGAATCAAAAAAACTTTCATTTTTATGCATTATTTTGAGCCATCTCAAAACAATTTTGCTTTGTTATTTAATTTATAAATAATATTTTTCATAAGAATTTAATTTTAGTTCTGGATTACATGGTCATTTTGAAACAGAAACTTTTAGATTTTAAATTTGAGATAGCAAGTTGTAATTTTCTTATTTAATCTTTAAGAAAAATGGAATAGAAATATTAAGGGGAGATCTTCATTTTTGGTATAAAAAAGAAAGTTTTGCTTAATATGTTTAATATTCTTACAATTTGCATGCTAAATGTGTAAACTGTAAACTTTAGCCTTCAGTCGTAGCTTATAATATAAGGGAAAATTACGTGTATAAGCAAACATATACTAGTTAATTAGTTATAATATAACTATGATGATCTACTTTTTGCAATAATTACGCAGCTCAACTTTTTAATTTTGTATAATTCACGCGTTTGTATAATTATAATTTTGAATTTATATAAATATGATTTGTACAATTATTTGCACTTGTGATGTTTGTAATTTCATATGTTATTTCTAGTTTATACAAATCGAAATCTGATCTTTGAATTCATGTCCTTGTTTCATAGTGTTGTTGACTATCAGGCCAATGTGAATTATTCTCAATTGTGAATCTTGATGCAGATACATAAGTGTTTTAGTTATACTATTGATAATACTAAAAGGCTTAGGTCAGTCTAGTACCTTACTTTGTGTGTCATCTGCCAAAATTTTGGTTTGTTCACTATTTGGAATGGTATCCTAAGTATGATTTACCAGGAAAAAGTAAAAGCAATTTTAACCTGGAATTTTAATCATTTCTCCAAAACATAACACATCTGGATTTATCTTCCTTAGTGCTCTCATCAAGTCCTAATGTAATTCGATCTCCCTGCATCAAATATTGCTCGTTCTAATGGAACTAATACCCCATGAGCCATAACGATGTCTGAACGGATTTTCTACCCTTAGAAAACCATCCCCAAGTGCATCTTTATGTGGTGAGGTGAAAGTGAAACTATAGATCAAGTTGTCTTTCTATATTCCTCTCAAGGTTTTTGATTTGAGCACCATCCATCCGCATTATATTAAAAAAGATAACACATTAGGTGTTAGAATCATGATCTCGTCTCTATAAGTTTAGTTCTGGCCAAGCACTCTTTAATCCATTTAAATGTCAAACATCACATGATCACAGTTTATCTATTTCTAAGCAGATCGGAATGTTCACTTCCACAGGACTTAACAAAGAACAGCCACATCTACATGATATGAGATGGGTAATATGTTTTTTGTATGTCACAAAGTTCTGTTCGTCATGTCATATTAGACAAAATATTATGTCTCCTCATCAACTGATATGTGATTTTATTAGCTAGTAAAGTGATTGTGACTATCTTGCAAGGAAGGTAAAACAGAAAGTGGGAAGGGACACATGCATGTTAAAATCTTATCAGTCATCACTTATTTTGTAGTTACTTTCTACCTTAGCTTAGCTTTCACGAACATTTCTAGAGCGTGATTCTTACTAGTTGGTACATAATTGTGGTAAACTCTCTATATAAAGCTTGACTATTAGATTTGC